CATAGACTAGTGGATCCACTTAGTTGAAGCGTTCTATATCCCGGCAAGTTATAGGACTGTTCTGGCAGCGTTTTATGTTCCAGAGGATGATCAGGTTCAGAATGAAGAGGTAGTCCAAGTCAGGTTCCATCCGGGTTTGTTGTTACACCCCTACTTTAGAATACTTTGGAATGTATGCTCAGCTTCTTAGAAAAAATGACTCAGATCGATATTTTGCGTAGGAGGACAGACTCCTGACCAACAGGCAATTACATGTCTTCAGATTCTACTAAGTTAGCAAGTCGCAACAGTAGTTCCTAGACTTGAGGTTCTGCCTTTTATAGGCGCTACTACGCCCTTAGTTACTAGCCCTACCATGATACTTGAGGAGCATAAAATGTTCGAGAGGTTCAAGAATATGGATAAGATCTTAAGTTAACTCTTCTTCTAGCTATTGTGACCTACAGAGGCCACATTCTGGGATAATAAAAACTGTTTTTGCTCAGCCACTTATGTTTTTTGCACACATGTCCTTTTTTCTTCACTTTCTTCTCCTTTTTATTTAGAGAATCAGTTTCTAGGAATTGTTTCTCAAGAAGTTCATCCTTTAGATATAGATCCATTGTCATATGTGGATCGTGGATAGGATTTTTTTTTCACAAATCTCTTTCTTTATCCGAGTCATTTTCTGAGAAGCAGGTTCCATAGCTCTACAATACCTTTAAAACTTTTTTTTTATGCAGTTTCTTCATTGTTATTCTTATTATCATATTTTTTTAGAAATAAGTTACTTTCCTTTATATGCACTCAAGACTTTGAGTTGTTTACCTCCTTTTGCATCACAATGTTATTTGCACATAATTCTCTTTTGATTATTTTGTTTCAGCTTCTTTGATGTCTAAGAATCTCCTTACCATACTTTCTTGTTTCCAATTGAGTTGCTGTGGGTTCCTCTTTCTCCGTATCATGTGCATATTTACCGTAAGGCATAATATATAAACATAATCCTTAACTTGTTTTCAGTGGACAATTATGTCCTCTAACTTTAAGTGTGTACAAGTAGGCACTTATACTTGTATAAAATGGAACAGGTAGGCAGACGTGTCCTACAAGACATAATACACGTAGGACGCCACGTCGGTCATCTAATTGTCATATGTAGAATGCCACATTAAGACTATTTTAGGTGTTAATATGGTTCTCCCAGACTAGTAATTTTGGACCCTATTTCCTCTAGCATGTGTGTATTTGTCACAAAAATCATGCTTGGCACATTTCACTCTGAGGGAGTCAAATACTGGGTCACATGACAACCCGGTAATCCCCCCCCCCCGCCCTCCTCTATTAGTATCGCATCCCACTAGTATATGTGTTGATTACCTACTTTACTTAGTTTTATCCACACATTACTAATAAATGTAATTTATCTTAGATATTGTTCTCTTAGATAATAATTGGTACTACAAAAAATTGCTTAATTTGCGGCGGTTAACTTGTGTGAGTTTTTAGAAGTTTCATTTATAATTCATTTTGTGACGTTTTATTTTGACCCCACAATATAAAACTTTTTGTGGTGGTTTTATTAAGGAGGTTAGAAAATTGCCACAATTTAATATTATTTTTGGCCAGGGACGGACCCACGTGGGTTCCAAGGGGTTCACCCGAACCCCCTCGGTAAAAAATTGCACTGTATATGTAAGATAATCTTCTGTATTTATGTGGATAGATATATTTTGAACCCATTACAAGGAGAATTAGATAACCTAGCGGTTGGTCCCCTTGAAAGTAAGCTTCACGTCAAGCATTCGAATCTTTGTGTTAGCATTTTATTTTTTATTTTTTAGTTTCAGTTTTTTTTTGTTTCACTTCCGTTTTTAACGTTTTTTTACTTTATAAAACATGCTAAATGTGGTGTTTTAAACCCCAAAAAATTCAAGAGTCCGCCACTAAAACTATATACTACTACTTCCTTGAAATTTTATTTTGTTGGCTTATATACACATTTATACTTTTATTTTTCAAACCCCCTGAACGATAATCCTGGGTCCGCTACTGTTTATGGCGATTATCGACCCCCCAAAATTTATTAAATTCGTTATATATATATATAATATTATACATTCGATATTGAAAGTTAATTTCATCATATACATACACCCTTCTCCTTCTTCATTTTAAATTTCCTTTTTTACTTTGTAGATGAAATTTCACATCAACATTTTATCTTAAATAGTAATACTTTAATTTGTACTATTTAGTGATTTTGGTTATCTCATAACACAAGAGTTTAAATTTTTTAACTATTATACCTAAGAAAAACATCATATATAACTTGTATGACAAATCAATAGTCATATGCCTTAATATTTATTTTGTTTGTATTTTAACTTTATTTAAGTTTTTATAGTACTAGTTGATTTTTTAAGGTGAAACAATTTAATTATTAGTTATTGCAAATAAATAAAAATTAAAAATAAAAGTTTGTTCTATGCACTAAAAAACTTATTTTATCTTTTATTTGGACCCAACTGAACAAAAAAAAATTACACCTCTCCTTTCAAAATATTTAAAAAGCCTAAAGACTATAATTAATTCCCCCCTAAAACCTTTCAAATCCAATCAAATATGAAATAACCACCCCTCCTTCCCAAATCCCACCCATTCCCGCGTAAAACACACACACACACCCCATTATTTCTTTTTCCCATTAACCCATTTCTTTGTCCCCTTTAATCCATTTCTTTTCTGTAACCCCCTCCCCTCTCCTTTTTTCCTTTGCCTCACTCTCTTTTTTACTTTGTTTTTCATTTCATTTTTTATGTGTGTGAATTTGGTAATTATTTTGAATATAAAGGTAATTCTCTGTTAGGTGAGTTTGATGATTCATATTAGAATTTAAAATTTATATTATTATTTAATTTATAAGTATTTTGTATTTTGCAAGTTGTTAAACTTAATGTATCAATATTTTTACATATTGCAGGATTTGTTCAAATTTTTACCATCGTAAAGTCATCTGTTGTACCTAATCTTTGATTGATTTATGGTAAGCCTCAATTTTGTTTTTGTTTAGTTAAGGATCATGTAATCCTTTTATTCTTGATTGGATTTGGCTATTACAAATTAAAGGATAATTTTGCATATTAGATTGTGATCTACATCAATATAACTTATTCAATACGGTAAATTGTTGAAGTTATAATTATGTTTTGGTAAGTGAAAGAAAACAATAAAGGTCAAGGAAGAAAGTCTAACTTAAAAATTATCAAAAATGAGAAATAGTTGAACCAACGTGCTAAATAGAATGAACATTTTATTTGATGTTGAAAAAAAATTAGTTTGTGCTTATGTAGGAATAATCATGAAGTCGCTATTATTCACATTATTAGGGTATATGAGAGAACATCAAATAGATAATCTTATAATTTGTTGTCAAATCAAAGCTCGATATGAATTTTTTTTAAAATGAATTGATTTTTTTATCAACATGTATGAAGATATATGTATCAATATATGTTTATCTAATTATATATAATATTTTCATTGTTTCAGCCTGATGAGGAGATTGAGCTTATTTTACGTTGGATAAAAAGATTGGATGACAACAACTTAAATCACCAAACAAATGCAAGCTATAGACTTTTTTTGTATTTTTTTTATGTGGATTTTAACGGATTTAAAATTGAATGTTGAAGTTATTATACAAAAGTTTGTATTATTTTTATTTGACATATTTTGAATTTGTGAAGCTTATTATTACAAATTTGTTTAATATAATTTGATTTGCTTTAAATGTGTTATTTAGTAAAATTATTCATTATTTTGAAGGCTTGATGTAAATCAAATTCCACATTTATTATTAAAATAATAATAATAATAATAATAATTTTGTAAGACTCCACAAATCAAATTATATATTAAATATTAATCACATATCATGACAATTTTGAATCCACACAAATTTAATTTTTAAAATATTGAAATAATATTGTGAAGGTTCTAAACTGTCACAAACTGTTACTAAAAAACCTCCACAAATTTAAAAGTCAATTTGTGGGGAGCGTTGTGGAGGTTTACTAAAACCGCTGCAAATATGCTCGTGGTAAGGGTAATTGTAGTGGTTTTAGAAACCGCCACAATTCAATTTGTAGAATCCCTAAATCGCCATAAATTGACAAAATATCCCCCATGAATTGAGCATTTTTTGTAGTGGTTGTCTATTACTATTAGTAACACAAATGGTTGGTTGGCACAACAAGATTACAAGGTATAACCATAAAACATACCATTAGCCTAAAAACCCTTTGAGTGAGTTCCCAAATAATGCCCTAAGTCTTTTCTCCACTATACCAATTGACTTTAAACATAAAATATCACTCAAAATTGAAGAAATCCCCCATGGGAATCCCTACACCTTCATATCGCGTCACTGTCAATTCTTATCTTTTTCCAATCACCATTCCTTCCCCACAAAAAATTCTAAAATCCAATTTATTCATTTATTCTAAAAGCTAAGAAAAATAGGAAAAATCTAAAATAATTATGGTATGATGAATACTTATACATTGTAAATTAAGATATACTAATTATATATCGATTATTCATTAGGTATGATTTGATTATATACTATATACAAATTTTGTGATTTTGGGAAGTTTATAAAGTTTGAGGCTTTTTTTTTATGGATTTGAATAGGATACAATATATAGGGTAGAGATTCCTAAATGTTAACACACATAAAGTATCTTTTGTATCAAATAACATAGGTTGCTAAACTTAAGAGAAATAAAATATGTACGGCTAAAAATAAAGATTCAACTTAGACCAAAATTTTGATAAAAATAACTTATTAACCGAACAATATTAGTTCATTTTTCCAACAAAATAGAATAAGATTCATAAATGATTGAAATAAAAAGTACAATAACATGAAATGGAAAGAAAAATGCAACAAATTAAGACATACACTATGAAAAAAGAACACGAAGAAACAATGATAGAACATTATAATTATTACATTCTCAATCGAGGTCATTGGAATGTCCATCATCTTCAACATTGACGTCATTGTCTTCTTTTGGTGCAGGCTCTATACCGCTTCCATCCCCTAATGTAGTTATAGTCTGAATAAACCACGGGTCATTGAATGACTCTTCCATTGGACTTGCTGATAAGGTAATATTTTCTTTGTTGGATGGAGGATTTGGAGGCTGGTTTAGTTCTTTCTTTCTTTCATCAAGTTTAGCCATTTTTGCAACAAACACCTTTAACAAACCTTTCATTTCTCTAGCATCAAGTTCATCAATACTTTTTCCTCCACTAGTTGGTTTGAAGAGGATTTCCATTTCCTTCGCCTCATTCATTTTCTCTAATTTGCTAATTTGTTCTTCTTTCTTATCAACTTTCTTTTGAAGATAGTCTTCATGCTTGACCAACTTTTCAAGCCTTTTGACCTCAATAAAAACTTAAATACCTCGTCAAGACATCCTGAGCCAGACTTGTGGATTTCCAAGTAATGGGTTGGATTTTTTCTGGCCTAAAAATAATTATGGCGACTTCTACGTCACATAAAATAGAAAGCTCTTCTGCTTTCTTGAACAAACTTGTTTCTCTTCTATCTAAGACGGAATTTCTCACATTTTCACTGTAGTTCCTAGTATCTCTGAGCCTTTTTGTAGCCATATTTGATACTCAAACAAAAAAAATATTTTCTTTTGGAGTAGAATATATAAAACTTGAAGAGATGTGTGGCTTTTATAGTTGTCAAACAAGAATTGCCAATATAGTCAAATTAAGAACTTTCATAATTTAGGTTCCAAATTTTAAATAATTTGATTAGTGTAATCTGATTTTGAGGAAACTATTAATTTTTTTCCTTAAAAAGATGAAAATTGTTAATATTCAAATTGAAATTGGACAGGTCATATTCCATGATTATTTTTGGAGGTAGAAAACTGTCACGCCCCAAGCCTACATCTTGGACGTGGCCGGCACTCGGAGACCATTGCTGGCCCCAAGCGAACCCTTGGCCTGGCTTACTTAACTCAGCAGAAGACTTAACTCAACAAAATAAACTCATGTAATAGTTTAAATGATAACCTGTTAGCCAAATTGGCAACTTCTGTCTCAAAACAAAGTATCTGCAAAGACATAGATGAGAGACTCAACTACTATCTGACTGTCTATGAAGCCTCTATAATACTGAGATGGATGTTGGGACAGACCCCACAACATCCTAATAAAGAAAACTAGGAAAGCGAAATAAAAGAGTCCT